ATGAAATCATTCAAGAGTCCCAATAAAATTGTACTGCAGACCATTCCTTCGTTGAATGGATTCCATATTCCCAATTTGAAGACATAAAATATATTGATAAAAGAGGCTTTGGAAAAATATACTCAGCTGTTTGGAAGGAAGGACATATTAAAAAGTGGAATATTCAGCAAAAACAATGGGAAAGATATGATGATGATTCTCGTCGTAAAGTTGCATTAAAATCTTTAAACAATTCACAAAATATAACAACTGAATTTTTAAATGAGGTAATTTATACTAAAAGTTTATAAAAGAATGTTATATTAATATAAAATCAGTTGTTTATGCACATTTTTTTATATTTATTTAGTTCAAAAATTATTTAAAATGTCAACAAGCAACAATGTCATCAATAGTACTTTGTTTTGGTATCACACAAGATCCCGAGACAAAGAATTATATGTTTGTGATGATGTTTATGAAGGGTGGCAATCTTAGAAATTGTTTAAAATCAAATTTTTCTAAATTATCATGGTCAAATAAATTAATAATTTATTTTATATTTCATATGGATTAAATCAGATGCATGAGATTAATTTAATTCACCAAGATCTTCATATTGGAAATATTCTCTCGTGTGGTTCTCATATGAGCGTGATTACTGATCTAGGTTTATCGAAACCAGCTGATAAAACTGGAATTTCTAAAGATAGTAAACAAAAGGTTTTTAGAGTAATTCCATATATAGCTCCTGAAGTATTATCTGGTGATAATAATTACTCAAAAGCATCAGACATATATGGTTTTACAATGATCATGTTTGAAATATTAACAGGAATGTCTCCTTTCTACAATATTCCTCATGATAAAGATCTTGCATTCAAAATATGTAATGGATATAGACCAAAAATTCCATCTAATATTGTTATAACTCAATTACTAGTGGACAAAATGAAAAGATGTTGGGATGCAAAATCAGAACGAAGACCAACTGCCAAAGAGTTGTTGGATGATTTTTGGAATTATGATGATGAAGAATCAGAATTGTATAAACAAATTGAAGAATTAGACTTAACAAATCCAGCGGATAACAGTAATACAAATAATTTAATATATGAAATACATCCATCGGCAATCTACACCAGTAGAGGTTTTAATTTCAAAAATCTTCCAAAACCTAATAATCTTAATGAAATGATGATAAAAATACAAATACGTTAACTACTAAAGATTATCTAAGCAAACTTTTTACAATATATATATAATTTTAAATATAATTCTGATTTTATTTTAATATTAATAAATTTAATTAATTATTGATATTTAATTGTATTTTATTTTATAAGTTACTGAAGAATGTATAGAAATCCCATAGGGTGTGTATTGAATATAATTTTATTATAATGTAAATACCCTTTCTTTAATTGTTTTACTAACAAATCACTTTTATTTTTTATTTTTATTTTTTAAAAAAAATGAATAGAATAAATAATTACAGTTTTATATGTAATTTTCATATAATTTTATTAGTTATTTATTATTTACATTCTTATTTCAAATGTATTTTATTTTTACTATAGTTAATAAATATATTAAAATATTTTAAACCTTTTTTTTTCGCGAAGATAACTATTTCTACGATAAATTTTTGTACGCCATAACCAGTATTTACAAGTTAATATAGTCAGCCGTGTTGGGAATTTAACCTCATGACATGAAATTTTCTATGACGTCTTTTCTTTTTAAAAGTTCGATGGAACGTAATTTTTAAATATTTTATTAGAATAAATAGACACCACACTAAACAATCAATAATACTATTATAAAAATTTTTAAACACTCGTTACTGCTTTACTAATTGAAACATTTACTTGACTTTATATTTAAATTAAATTATGGAGCAAATATTACTACAAATAATTTAAATGAAGTAGTGAATGAAATAAATGAAAATTCAATTTCTGATAAATCAGATACCAAAGAATCTGATATTGATTATAGAGATTATGGAATATGTGAAAATGTGGAAATAAAAATACAGGTGCTTACAATGTAATTCTCAACATTTTCAACAAAATTTTGGAAATTAGACAAGTGAAACAAAGATGTCTGATGTAATTATGTCAGAAATCAAAAAAAAATGGTTAGTTGGTTTATTTGCTTCTGCTGGAAATCCAATTACTCAGTATCAGTTATTCAATATCCAAAGCTTAAAGAGAAAATAGAATGTGCAGCATCAATTAAAATTGATGAAGAAGAAAAAGAAAAGGTCATTACTTTGCTTTTCATGAAGCTTTAGAAAGGTTGAGTGAAGTTTATTAAGCATTACTGGAAATGTAATTGATGTCAACAATTTAAAATTACAAGTGAAAGTCGCTCAAAGTGAATGAGATCAAATAGGAATTTTATTATTGGAATATCTTAATGATCCTTGGATCAATTGGTTATTATGCGGAATTTAATACATAAACTTTTATCTGCATTTCAAAACTCTAATGAATATAATCAATATCAAAATCCCTTATGGAATACTACTTCACCCAATCAATTCACAGCAGCTTCTATTGCACATTTATATAATTGTTTCCCTGATGGAGTTTTAAGAATAGAAAATATATTCTCACAAGACATCACTTTAACGCAAAAAAGTAATAAAGTTGGAAGAAGAAGATTAGGAATTACGAGATGGAAACCTACTGATCAAAATAATAAAAGAAAAAAGAATACTTAGCAAATTTAACCTCCCAAATAAATGTTGAAAATTCAGGAGTCTCTAATCAAATTAATTTTGAATCTGAACAACAAACACAAATTGATTCAATAAATATCATACCACAAGAGAATTTAATAACCGATAACTTGAATGATCAAGAAAGACCAACAACTAAAAAATTGAGACAAGCTCGACGTGAAACAAAACCTGAAGAAAAAAGAATTTTAGAACCATTAATAAATTGCTTAGTATATCCAACCATTGATCAAATAAATCAAGTTAAGGAAATATTAGGGAATGAATGGGATAAAAATAGAATTAGCCAATATATTTCCCGCCATAGAAAGAGTAAACAATAATCAACTTTGAATTAAATACCTTATTTTCGCTAAAAAATATTTAAAAAAAATATTAACAAATGAATTCTATATGTTTTGATATATAAATATATTAAATATAATAATATTAAAATAAGATATATTTTTTGCCGAAAATATTATTACATGGATTTTAAAAAGTGGACATGCAAAAAAATACCTTAGAATCGGGTACGGTTTTATTAATTAAAAGACTAATAGAACAAGAACCATTGATCAAATAAATCAAGTTAAGGAAATATTAAGGAATGAATGGAGAATTAGCCAATATATTTCCCGCCATAGAAAGAATAAAAATAATAAACATTGAATTATTAATCAAATACCTTATTTTCGCTAAAAAAATATATAAAAAATTATTAATAAATGAATTCTATATGTTTTGAATATAAATATAATAAAAAGATCTATTTTTTGTCAAAAAATATTATCACATTGGTTTTAAAAAGTGGATACACTAAAAAATACCTTAGAAAAAATGATACTTGGGTACAGTTTTATTAATTAAAAGACTAATAGAACGAGAATCTTGAGATTTAGTATCACAAAGTAGGCTGAATTTTCACTAGTATAATACATT